CTTGTTCTTGTCGTCCCTGCCTCCGTCTGCTGCCGCGGCCGCCGCGCCCGTAGGCGCTCGCCGCAGGCCGTCGGCCCAGCTGTCGTCGAGCGGGTCGTCCTCCGAGGCGCCCTCGCCAGCGGGATCGCCCGCGCTCGCACCAGCAGGGCTGAGGTCGAGCAACGCGATGGGATGGCCGTCCACGTGCATGTCCTGGGCTCCTTCATCAGGTCGCCGAGAGCGAGCCCGAACCCGACGCCGCCGCCGCCTCCGCCGAGGGCGCGGGAGCGCGGCGTCGTTCGGGGGGTCACCAGGTTGCGCCGGGGCGCCATTGCCACCGCCTGCCGCGGGCGTGGGCGCGGGCGTGCCGAGCACCGCCGCCGCCGCCCGCAGGAGCCCTTCGGCCGCCCGCACCAGGCGGAGAGCCTCGCGACTCTCGCCGGCGCAGAGGCCGGCAGCGGCGTGCGCCGCCACCAGGGAGCCGCGGGTCGCCTCCAGGGCCCCGCGACGCGTCGCACACATCGGCATGGCGCGCAGCGAGCGGCGGGGCCACCCAGCGATGCGAGCCAGAGCCAAAGTGGCTAGGAGGAGGAGGAGGAGGAGGAGGAGGAGGAGGAGGAGGAGGAGGAGGAGGAGGACGAGGAGGAGGAGGAGGAGGAGGAGGAGGAGGAGGAGGAGGAGGAGGAGGAGGAGGAGGATGCTGCATTACAACGTCATGTTCTCCCGCGCCACGTGCATGCGGAACGTGCTGATCCTGCAGCCGTCCTTGCGGGAGTTCCCGGAGGGCGGGCCGCCAGCCTCCCTGCGGAAGGCGCTCAGGGAGTTCAGCAAGATAGTGGAGAGCTCCAGGGCAGACGCGGAGCAGCTCGCGGCAGAGCTGGGCTTCGTGCTGCCTCCCGCCTGAGCGCGGCCGCGACTAGCTCGGTGTCTGCGGGGTTGGTCCCAACGGCATGCTCCCGCGCCCCAGCCGCTCGCGGGGTTGCCCCAACGGCCTTGCCCGCGGGATTGCACCAACGTCTGCGCGATGTGGCCGTTCGAGAATGCGCCCGTGCTGGCCGTGGCGGCGACGGCGCCGAGGACAACCAGCACGCGCGCTTTTGCAATAGAGTGGGGGTGCAAAAAAAACAGGAGGCCGTGGAAGGGGCGACGTAGGGAGCGGGAGGAGGGCCTGCGCCTGGGCGAGACGGAGAATGATGCAGAGGAGAATAAGGGCGCCTCACCAATCATGAGGACGACGATGAGGGGCATGTCCAGAGTAGCCGCTAGTCGAGAGGACTCTCATGTGGGGTCCTACCGTCGGAGTAGCCTTCTCTGCGCACCTCCGCGCAGGATAACCCCCACCTCGTCTGCGCATTCATCATCTCATCACCATCGCCATCAGTACCACCACCATCATCAAAGGCGCACGCACGCACTCATTCATAATCATCAGCGCGTTCTCGCCCACGCACATACGCATTCATCATCACCGTCGTCATCATCATCAGGTCCACACACTTCGTCATCAGCGTCACTATCGCCAGCTCACCGTCACCATCGCTACCATCACACTTTCATCATTATCGCCATCCCATCGTGATCATCGACCAAGAAGGAGCTTCGTTTGTGAGTGGACTGCGAGGAAGCTTTCGGCGACAGCCCCCTGTCTATGGGGTCCGCATTTCATGTTGGCAATACGTGCGGGTCATCGTAATCTTGTATCAGTCGTAACTTCTGGGTTCCTCAGGCCTGAGTCTTGAGGAAGTCCCAGGCGGGAGCCTCGTTTGTGAATGAATTGCGAGGAAGTCTCAGGCGGGAGCCACCTCCCTATGGGGACCGCATTTCATCGGAATCTTGGAAGTGTCGCCACTGTCGGCTCGCATGGATTGAAGGAGGAAGTCTCAGGCCAGAGCTTCGTCAGTGAGTGAAATGCGAAGAAGTTTTAGGCGGGAACCCCTCCCTATGGGGTCAGCATTTCATGTTGGCAATCCGAGCGGGTCATGGAAACCCTGAAGCTGTCGTCGCTTGTCGGCTCCTCTGACTTGAGTATGGATTCCAGGGCTGAGGCGAAGCAGCTCGCGGCAGAGCCGAGCTCCGTGCTGCCTCTTGCCCTAGCGCGGCCGCGACTAACTCGGTGCTTGCGGGGTTGTCCCAACGGTTTGCTTTCGCGCCCCAGCGGTTCGCGGGGCTGTCCCAACGGCCGTTATCCCGACGGCTTCGCGATTTTGCCATGGGAGAGCGCGCCCCTGCCGGGCGCGGCGGCGAGGGCGCCGGGAAAATCGGCATGCGCCCCCCTGCCATGAGGAAAGGGGGTTGCATGAGGAAAACAGGAGGGATGGACATGATAGGGGGAAGGAGGAGGTGGAGGAGGAGGAGGAGGAAAAGGACGAAAAGGAAGAGGAGGAATTGAACAAAGAGAGCGAGCAAGTGGAGGAAACGGAGGATGAGGAAAACAAGGAGGATGGATGAACTGGGGACGCAACATAGGGCGAAGCGGGGGGTTCCGCCCAGGGCAGAAAGGACAGAGCGAAGGGCTACCCAAATCTATTTTCATGTGGGGTCCTACCGTCACAGTAATTCACCACATGCTCTCTGGGGTTTTGGATTTCTTCCCACCAGCGCCGCCCGCGCTTTTCAATCACGTCTTCTCTTCCCCACCTCCACCCGCACGCGCACACACAGTCATACATTCACACCAACAGCGCCAGCGCACGCCTGGCTTTTTCACTGCGTCAGAGACCCGCGACGTATGCGCCAATTTTTGGGCACCCGCGTGAAACACGCGTCCAGGTACAACCGCACACGAATCATACATATGGTACATATGTTCAACACTCGCCCAACACATACACATGCCATGCGCACGACGCAGCTCAACAACACAGCGCACATACTTCACACATTGGACAACACACGCACAACACAACACAACACAGCATACCCAAACACACACACACCACTGCACACGGCCGTATTCGTCCAGTATGGATGTGGCGCGGCCCTTTTCCGACACCAGAGGGAGTGCACATGGGGTGGTCTTTCACCGCGACCACTGTGCGTGCCAGTGTCGGAAAGCGTGGCGGACGTGGCACTCTCTCGACGCCAATGGGGTTACGCAGGGGGTGGTCTCTCATTGCGGCCCCTACGCGTGCCAGGGTCTGAGAGCGTGGCAGGCGTGGTACTTTCTCGACACCAGAGGGGGTGCGCAGGGGGTGGTCTCTCACCGCGACCCCTATGCGTGCCAAGGTCGGAAAGCGTGGCGGACGTGGCATTTTTTCGACACCAGAGGGGGTGCGCAGGGGGTGGTCTCTCACCGCGGCCCCTTTGCGCGCCAGGGTCTGAGAGCGTGGCAGGCGCGGCACTTTCTCGACACCAGACGGGATGCGAATGGGGTGGTCTCTCACCGCGGCTGTTATGCGTGCCAGGGTCGGGGAGCGTGGCAGGCGTGGCATTTTTTCGACACCAGAGGGAGGGGGTGCGCAGAGGGTGCAGGGCCACCGCAGTGGGTGCGCATGGGGTGGTCCTGCAGCGCGGCCCCATATGCGTGCCAGGGTCTGAAAGCGCGGCATGCGTGGCAACCAAAACTGTAGGCACCCTGGCCCAAACGGGCTCGAATATCGCAGGTGCTGCCTTGCCACCCGCGCCGCTCATGCAGCCCAGATGTGCCATTGACGCACTGCCGCCTCCGTGTGTTTGAAGCTGAAGAAGTCCATGGCAGGCGCAGGTGTCGATGTTAGCGTTGTCAAATTGCGCAGTTGCGAGGCAATTTGGGTTTTAATTCTTACCGCAAACAGCGGAATAATTTGAGGTCCCCGAAAGTAGTTGTCAGAGGCATTTGCTCCGAATTGAAATCTTCCGCACTCGTCCGCACTCGTCCGCCCTCCTCGCGTCGGAGGCTTCCGGAGATAGCCCCTGGAGGCTTCCGCACCAATTTGAATTCCTCGCGCTCTTCCGCGCTCGTCCGCACGCGTCTCGCACTGGTCCTGTTCCCTCTCCTCCTTCCCCTACTCCTCCTCCGAAGTGTCGGAATGCAGGTGCCGGAATGCAGGGAAGGATTTATTCCTCGTTTTCCATCTTCTCCACGTCCGTCCCCTCCGTGTTGCCCGCTTCCTCCGCCTCCTTTGAGTTGCTGAAGCCCGCTGTGTCTTTGCGGGTTTCCAAGGCTTGACAGGCGTGGCGCATTGGCGGGGCAGCGGCTACCAGCATCATTTTCGCATGTTTCACGTCAGCTAGCATCGTGCCATACGTATCATCATTATGTGGGGTTGCTCGGTGGACTAATTTGCATGCGTGTCGGGTTTCAGCTTGCTGATCTGCCGGTCTCTCGGAACAGGGATGCCTAGGAACCGGTTTCGAGAGTTGGCGTTGTTTTCTTTGTTGTCACACGGCGGTGCGAAGAGGTCCGTGCACTTGGAAGTTGCTCTTTCTCGTGATTCGCATTCTGAAAAATGTGGCCCACTGCGATGTGATGTCTAGAGTATGTCTGTGTGGGCGAAATCATAGAAATATGGGCTGACGATGCAGCGTCTTTGCCACGACTGCCAGTGTTTCGACCTGACACGCGTGGAGCCAGGAGCTCATAAACGCCTTTGTGCACTGTGACGGACGTGCCGCCTGACCTGCGCAATTGTGGGGACGACGCGAGTTTCTTGCGCCTGGCTGGTCAGCAGGGCCAGCCTCGTGCAGTCGAAGGTACCAGCTGTGGTGCAAGAGGTGGAGTCCTGACCCGTGAGGGGGGCTTACGCTTCGTTGAAATCCAGCTTCCGACCTTCGGTCAGGACTTTGACTAATCGTGTCGGGCCGCCGGCTCTGGCCCACCGCGCCCCGGCCTTTCCGAGCCTGCCGCCCCGCGGGGCGGAGCGACACGCCACTCGTTTGCCATGCGCGGCGTGTCGCCGGGGCTGCCACGGCGACGCGTTGAGCAAAGCTGTCCGACCGTACAGACCGTTGGGAATCCAGCCTCTGACGCAATCTCTAACAGAAGGACGAACAAAAGGACAAGGGAAATGCACGGGGCCCTTGGAGGCGCGCCTTTTCCGCAGGTTGCCGCCGAGCAGTGCGCGCTCGCCAGAGGACGCCTCACGGCCTCAGCGAGCAGTGGTGCAGGAAGCGCGCCCAGCAGCAATGGTTCGTCGCAGGCCACGGGCGAGGCCCCACAGCATGCGGGGCTTTAGATGATGTTGAACTCGCTGGGTGCGTTTGTTTTTCCCGTTCCCAAGTTTTTCCCGACCATCCTGTGGTGTTGGGTCCTCGCTTTGGAGAAACAACGCCCCGCGTCTCCTCTCCTCTCTTCTCCTTTTCCCCCCCCTCCCTCCTCCCATCCCTGCCTCAGCCCTCCGCGCCAATCAAATCTTTCGGCACACCCCTCGCGCGTTTCGTGGCCCCATAGAGTGTTTCACCGAAGGCCCCAGTGGCGGAGTCCGCATGCGTCCCCCCCCCCCCCCCCAGTACAGTGTTTCGTGGCCCCATAGGGAGTTCCACCGAAGGTCCCAGTGCTACCGCCCGCATGCGTCTCCCCCACCCAGCACAGCGTTTCGTGGCCCCATAGGGAGCTCCACGTGAGGCTCCAGTGGCGGTGCTCGCAAGCGTCCCCCCCGCCCAGTGCAGCGTTTCGTGGCTCCATGGGGAGGTCCACCGACGGTCCCAGTGAACCCGCATGCATGCGCCCCCCCCTACCCAATACAGCGTTTCGTGGGTGGCCGCATAGGGAGCTCTACGAGGGTCCCAGCGCTACCGCCCGCATGCGTCCCCCCACCCAGTACAGCGTTTCGTGGCTCCAGGGGGAGGTCCACCGAAGGTCCCAGTGATCCCGCGTGCATGCGTCTCCCCAACCCAGTACAGCGCTTCGTGGCCCCCGATAGGGAGCTTCACCGGCGGCCCCAGTGCTACTGCCCGCATGCGTTCCCCCCACCCAGTACCAGCACAGCATTTGGGGGCCCATTGGGAGCTTCACCGAAGGTCCCAGCGCTACCGCCCGCATGCGTTCCCCCCAGTACAGCGTTTCGTGGCACCGTTCACATGCCCCTACCCAGTACACCGTTTCGTGGCCTTATATAGGGGCTCCACCGAATGCTCCCCTGGCACCGTCCACGTGCGTGCGTCTCCCCCCGCCCATTACCGTGTTCCGTGGCCCCATAGGGAGTGAGCTTTACCGACGGCCTCAATGGCACCGTCCACTTGCGTCTCCCCCACCCAGTACCGCGTTTCGTGGTCCCATAGGGAGGTCCACCGAAGGCCCCAGTGGCGGCGTTCGCATGCGTCTCTTCTACCCAGTACAGCGCTTCGTGGCCCCATAGGGAACTCCACCGAATGCCCCAGTGGCAAAGTCCACATGCTTTTGCATTTCGTGGCCCACCGAAGGCCCCAATGGCAAAGTCCGCATGCGTTTCCCCCACCCAGTACAGCGTGATTTGGCCGCATAGGGGGCTCCACCGAAGGTCTCAGTGGCAAAGTTCGCATGCGTCTCCTTTACCCAGTATGGCGTTTCGTTGCCTGGCAGGGAGCTCCACCGAAGGCCCCAGTTGCGGTGTTCGCATTTGCCCCCCCCGCCCAGTACAGCGCTCCGCGGCCCATCGGGAGTTCCACTGAAGGCGATACGCACAACTGCCGTACTCACAGCTGCATATGGTTGTGTCCTTCGCCATGCTATTTCTCCCAACCATCCTGTGGTATTGGGTCTTCGTTTTGAAGGGACAGCGCCCCGCGTCCCTGCTCCTCTTCTCCTCTCTCTCCTCCCTCCTCCAATCCCCTGCCCCTGCCCTCCGCATGTCCTCGTCGTTGTCATCATCACCATCACCACCATCATCATCATAATCATCATCACCATCGCCATCAGCATCCTCGACGTCATCCTCACCATCATCGTCATTATCGTCATCATCATCATTATCATCATTATCATTATCATCATTATCATCATCATCACCATCGCCACCATCGTCATCGGCTTCATTATCACAACTATCTTCGCCATCGCCATCAGCATCGGCAACAATTCAGCACACCCAGTGCAGCGTTTCGTGGCCCCATGTGGAGCTCCACCTAAGGCCCCAGTGGCTGTGTCCACATGCGTCTCCCCCACCCAGCACGGCGTTTCGTGGCCCCATGTGGAGCTCCACCTGAGGCCCTTGTGGCGGTGTCCACATGCGTCTCCCCCGCCCAGCACAGCGTTTCGTGGCCCCATAGGGAGCTCCACCTGAGGCCCCAGTGGCGGAGTCCGCGTGCGTCCCCCCCCACCCAGTGCAGCGTTTCGTGGCCCCATCGGCAGCTCCGCCGAAGGCCCCAGTGGCGGTGTCCGCATGCGTCTCCGCCGCCCAGTACGGCATTTCGTGGTTTCGTGGCCCCATTGTGAGTTTCACGTGAGGCCCCCAAAATGTCCGCATGCGCCCCCCCCCCATCCAGTGCAGCGTTCCGTGGCCCCATGGGGAGTTCCACCAAAGGTCCCAGTGGCGGTGCTCGCATGCGTCTCCCACACTCAGAACATCGTTTCGCTGTCCCCATAAGGAGCTTCACCGAGGGCCACAATTGCTGTGTCCACATGCGCCTCACCCACCCAGCACAGCGTTTCGTTGCCCCATATGGAGCTCCACCTAGGGCACCATTGGCGGTGTCCACATGCTTCTCCGCTGCCCAGCACAGCGTTTCGTGGCCCCATAAAAGGGGCTTCACCTGAGGCTTCAGTGGCGGAGTCCGCGTGCGACACCCCCCACCCAGTGCAGCGTTTCGTGGCCCCATCGGGAGCTCCGCCGAAGGTCCCAGTGGCGGTGCCCGCATGCGTCTCCCCCGCCCAGCACGGCGTTTCGTGGCCTCATCGGGAGCTTCGCCGGAGGCCGCCGTGGCGGTGTCCACATGCGCCTCCCCCGCCCAGCACGGCGTTCCGTGGCCCCATAGGGAGCTCCACGTGAGGATCCAGTGGCGGTGCTCGCATGCGTCCCCCCCGCCCAGTGCAGCATTCGCATTCCGTTGCCCCATGGGGAGTTCCACCGAAGGCCCCAGTGGCGGCGTTCGCATGCGTCTTCCTTACTCAGTACAGTGTTTCGTTGCCCCATAGGGAGCTCCACCGAAGGCCCCAGTGATGGTGATCGCATGAGTCCCCCCACCCAGCACGGCGTTTCGTGGCCCCATAGGGAGCTCCACCAACGGCCCCAGTGGCGGTGTTCGCATGCGTCTCCGCTCTCCAGTGCAGCGTTTCGTGGCCCCATAGGTTGCTCCACCTAAGGCCCCAGTGGCGGTGCCCGCGTGTGTCTCCTCCACCCAGCACAGCGTTTCGTGGCCTCATAGGGAGCTCCACCTGAGGCTCCAGCGGCGGAGTCCGCGTGCGTCCCCCCCACCCAGTGCAGCGTTTCGTGGCCCCATCGGGAGCTCCGCCGAAGGCCCCAGTGGCAGTGTCCGCATGCGTCTCCGCCGCCCAGCACGGCATTTCGTGGTTTCGTGGCCTCATTGGGAGTTTCACCTGAGGCTCCAAACATGTCCGCATGCGTCCCCTCCATCCAGTGCAGCGTTCCGTGGCCCCACGGGGAGTTCCACCAAAGGTCCCAGTGGCGGTGCTCGTATGCGTCTCCCACACTCAGAACATCGTTTCGCTGTCCCCATAAGGAACTTCACCGAGGGCCTCAATTGCGGTGTCCACATGCGCCTCACCCACCCAGCACAGCGTTTCGTTGCCCCATTGGGAGCTCCACCGAAGGCCTCAGTTGCGGTGTTCGCATGCGTTTGGCCCGCTCAGTACAGCGTTTCGTGGCCCCATCGGGAGTTCCGCCGAAGGCCTCCGTCGCGGTGTTCGCATGCGCCCCCCTCACACAGCACGGCGTTTCGTGGCCCACTAGGGAGTTCCACCGCAGGTCCCGCTGGCGGCCCCGCCCCATTGCGGCGCACCCTTCGCACGTTTCAAGGCCCCATAGTGGGTTCCACCTGAAACTCCAGTAGCAGCGCCCACCTGGCGGCCCCGCCCCATATCGGCATACCCTTCGTATGCTTCATGGCCCCATGAGGAGATGTCCGGAAGGCGATACCCGCAACGACGGTCCTCACATTTGCATATGGTTGGGTCCTTCGCCAGGATCATTTTCAGTTTTTGGTCACGTGTTTCTCTGCTTCGGGGCTCTTTGTCCGCGCCGTTTTCGGTGCGGATCCGTGTTCGATTGTAGTTTTTGTTATGCTGTATTTTCCGCTTCGGTTGGCCGATAACCGAAACGTTCATTCTGGTGAAAAGCGCTCCCAGGTGGTTGTTTTTTCCCAACCCTTCTTGGTTTGGTCTTCGTTTTGAATAAAGGACTGCGGTCTCCAGTTCTCCTCCCGCCTCCTCCTCCCGCCTCCCGTCTCCCGCTCCCCTCTTGTCTCCTCTTGCCTTGCGCGAATCTGGCCATCCCTGGGGGGCTGCGATCTGTGACACTGTCGCCACTTTCGAGGGCTGCTGGTGGGTCCTGCGGAGTGAGGCACCGCGGGGATCTGAGCGAGACCTCGCCGTCCCTGGGGGGCTGCGATCTGCGACGCTGTCGCCACTTTCGGGGGCTGCTGGTGAGTCCTGCGGAGTGAGGCACCGCGGGGATCTGAGCGAGACCTCGCCGTCCCTGGGGGGCTGCGATCTGCGACACTGTCGCCATTTTCGAGGGCTGTTGGTGGGTCCTGCGGGGTGAGGCACCGCGGGGATCTGAGCGAGACCTCGCCGTCCCTGGGGGGCTGCGATCTGCGACACTGTCGCCACTTTCGAGGGCTGCTGGTGGGTCCTGCGGAGTGAGGCGCCGCGGGGATCCGAGCGAGACCTCGCCGTCCCTGGGGGGCTGCAATCTGCGACGCTGTCGCCACTTTCGAGGGCCGCTGGTAGGTCCTGCGGAGTGAGTCGCCGCGGGGATCTGAGCGAGACCTCGCCGTCCCTGGGGGGCTGCGATCTGCGACGCTGTCGCCACTTTCGAGGGCTGCTGGTGGGTCCAGCGCAGTGAGGCACCGCGGGGATCTGAGCGAGACCTTGCCGTCCCTGGGGGGCTGCGATCTGCGACACTGTCGCCACTTTCGAGGGCTGCTGGTGGGTCCTGCGGAGTGGGGCACCGCGGGGATCTGAGCGAGACCTCGCTGTCCCTGGGGGGCTGCGACCTGCGACACTGTCGGCACTTTCGAGGGCTGCTGGTGTGTCCTGCGCAGTGAGGCGCCGGGG